CCACCCCCTTCCACCCTTCTACATCTACTCTCCACAACACACAGGCGCTGACCCCAAATTACGAGATACGGGGCGGAAGTTGTGCGCAGAAGAATGGGCGGCCTATTGCGGGAGGCGGGACTGTGCAGACGCAATCGCCAAGTTCTCCAACACCAAGAGTTTCTACCTTAAGTCCAGAGAGGCCGAACGCTGCAACGCTCGACTCGAACGCTCCAACTCGCTTCCCGACATGGTCAAAGCGCCAGGCACAAAACCCCAGCACAAAAGAGCCTCTCTTCGGAAAAAGATCAAGAAAATTCTTCCGGGCAATACGACTTCGGTGGGCACGCCCCCTGGTGATTCGAACCCTAGCTCCTCCCCTTCAGGCCACACCCTCAGTGTAAGCCCCTCCTCCGGAAGTCCTTTTGCTGTGATAGCTAGGTGTGTGTCCACCCCCGTCCTCCCCGGCGCCATCCAATCAGGGACGAATGCTTTGCCCCGCCCCGTGAGTGCGGAGAATATCCCCAGGGTCGAGGTCACTGTGCCCCCGCGGGAAGATGGAGGTCCAGGGACGGACTCCGACCCCGGGCTGGGCGGCGGCAGGATCGGCCGGTCGAGGCGGAGACTTTTCAACAGTCACAGCATGCAAGGCAATACGAACAGCAACAGCAACAACAGCAGCAGCGGCGGCAGCGGCAGCAGCAGCACCACCAACAGCGGAAGCAATAACACCAGCACGACCAACAGCAATAACGCGGCCAGCACTACCAGCAACACTAGCGTGAACATCCCCAAAACGCCCAAACCTTTCGCCGAGGAGTACGTCACCGTCACATGACCGAGGCTCACGGTCGCCGATATAATATATAACAACACCGATACCGTCACCGCGACGACACGACTGTCACTGGCTCATCATAACGGTCACTCGTTTCGTCTCATGAGGACGAACGTCATGTGACATGGTCGCACCCAGACTACGTGACAGTGCGTGTTTGAATCAACAACGCTTGGGACTTCCTTGATTCTAAAATATTCCCTGATTTTCATTGCCTGCCAAAGACACCACTGCTGCGCAGTGGAATTTTCGCTTTAATGTTGTGTCCAGGTATAGGTCTAATATCCTCTTAATGCACGTCTTGTCACCCCCTCCCCCCTTTTTTCCACACCCTAACC